CTGGGCCCTCGTCGTAGCGTGGGGCGCGTCGCTCTACCAAATCTATCTGAAAGATCTTTTTGCAATTACCTTTGGTGTTGGGCGCGTGATACAGAGCATCGACGACTTTCCAGAGTTTAGTTGTCGCCGTCTGGTGCATCCAAGGCTGGAGGCGTGCGAGGATATTTGGCTGGACAATGAGGGAAGAACATTGTATGCGGCGTGCGCAGGTACAGCGCCTAGATTGGCTTGGAATCAAGCGTACGTTATCTCACAGCTATGCCGCTACAAATGAACGCGGTTTCGCTGTCTGAATTACTGACTGGTATAGCATGAATGACCTCAACGTAACTGGACGGCGGCCCGGCGGCTCAGAGCTCCTCGCCTTGGATATCGACGAGCCTGGTGAAGACGGTCTCTACAATCTTCGCAGTATCAAGCCAATCGGCCATTATAAAGGAGTAGATGGTGGCTCTGATCTCGATCTTCTGGGCTTCGATGTCCAGATCTTGGACGACAACACCATGCGCTTCTACTTTGTCAACCAACGACCACCAGTCGATGCGTCCAATAGCATTGTCGATGCTTCTGAAAGTGGCGCGAACTCAACAATCGAGATCTTCGAGATGAGAAAGGGTCAAGAACAGATGCTTCATGTCCGAACCGTCTTTTCTGACGAGATTTGGACGCCGAACCGTGTTGCGGCGCTTGGCGATGGCTCTGGTGGATTTCTGGTTACGAACGATCATTCAGTCAAGGTTGGCATGGTACGTGGCAACCGTATCTAATCATATATCAAGTGACTAACGCAAACCAGCGTCTCGCACTCGACTACTTCATCGGTGGAGGAAACGTCGCCTACTGCGATGGAGCTGGGAAGTGTCACGCAGCCTACGACGGCAGCGAGGAGCGCCAGTTCACCCGATCAGACGCACCCAGTGAACCAAAGTATAAGACCTACCTCAACAAGGCGCTCAGCTACCTTCCCAAAACAAAACTTAAATTCCCCAATGGACTAGCGCTCGGCAGAGACGGCCTCTTCTACGTCCCCAGCACCATCGACGGCCAAATCCGCGTCCTAGCACTCCAGCCCGACAAGACCCTCAGCTTGGTCGATAACATCCACGTCGGTATGCCACTCGACAACATCTCACCGGACGCGAACGGCGATATGTACGTCGCAGGTTTCCCGAACCTATACCAATCCAGTAAAGGCTTTGACGATCCTTATAACGGCATTTCACCCGTGACTATCTGGCGTATCAGGAAGACGGTAGATGTAGAAAAGACTGGAGTAAGAAGCGTGGATTATAGGGTTGAGAAGGTTATTGAGGACAAAGATGCGAAGGTGCTGAGTGGGAGTACGACGGTTAGGCATGATGTCAAGAGTGGGCGGTTGTTTGTCAGTGGTAAGTTCATGATTGTGGTGCGCGTTGATGACATTGTGCTAATCCTCAATAGCTGCGGTGCACCCGTTCCTTGTGGTTTGCGAACCTACGAGATGAACGATCATACTGAGGGCTGCATGATGTCACGCTCGAGGAAAAGACCAAACCTCCATCTAAAGTTGCCAATCTAGAAGTCTACATTGGCTTCAAAGTTTGATGTTTCTCGTTCTTACGCTACTGTAGACTGCAGCGCAACTGTTCGACTTGTTCCTTGTACGCGGTGATCACATGGAGCATATGAGCCACAATATTGAATTAAATATTGAAATTGTAGTTTATTTCTGCTGCCACTTTCACTTTCGGGAGAGGATCTTCGATCACGCCATCATTTTTGTGTTTCAACGAAAAAGACATCGAAAAAGCGTAAAACGCTTTTGGTGAGTCGTGCAACAACCCGGCTGCTCGAAAGCATGGGTAGATGACGGAGTACTTTGAGAAAACAGCAGAGAACCGCAGTCATGTGATCCTTGCTTCTAGGATTTTGTTAGTCGAACTTTTGCAGATAAGAGAGAAAGAAGAACGGAGGAGAAGAAGATTATATACCTTTCAGAAGAGCCCGAACGTCTTGCCACTGGCTTTCCAAAAGACGAAAGCATGTTGCGCTGGTACTTATGTCTACGAAAGCTGCGACACTTGCCGGTATCGCGTATAGACTTTGCATAGATGTTTCTCAACTCATTATGTGAGTGTTGTACTAGCTAATTTGAAAGCGGAAACAGAACAGACATGCCAGGAAAGCAGTCGAATTTTAGGGGCCTGAATTCGGGTTACATGGATGGTCGACCCAGAGATTTTGGAATTGCACAGATTATAGTGGAGTGCAAAGATGCAGAGAAAGAAGTGGCACAGAAGATGGTTTGTACAACCACTCCAAACGCCATAGACCGCCCAGCAGCTTCATTTGGATCTATTCGGTATGTTTCCAAAAAGCCGTACGATGTTGGTTTCGAAGAGGGTGTCCGTAGAAGTTCCCGACGACATCTGCTGAATTTCCATGCCTTGCGACTTTTGACAGCCTTGAACATATGTCCATAGCCTCATACAGCTGGGTCGATGAGATCTTTTGGAGCAGCAAAAACATGACCTGTAACATACATATAGAGTTCATCCTTTTGCTCGATCGTGTAGTAGCTTTCGAATTTTTCCAGGCTGAGACATAAGATATCTCGACTGACATTTTGGAAACAATGTAGGGGAGAACATGAACTGAACTCATCCAGCTTTGGTAAGCACGTTTCGTTCAAAAACGGAGATGAAGTGTGTTGATAAGAGAAGATATCCGCAAACCCGACACTTATATACCTCTCATCCCCAACCCTAGCTCCACATCCGCTCTAGCCTCACCCTCCACCTCAGACCTGCGCAACAAGACCCCTCGCGTCTCTGCGCCATCTCACCAGCGCCACCAGATTCGCACACGGAGCACACTGCACCCATGCGTGTGTCAAGTTGCAGACCACCTCATCCAACCTTCTCTTGTCCCCGTCATCGAGCCCAGCAGCGAAGTCCTCCCAGTCTTTGGCCGTGATGTTCTCGTTAGTCTGAGATTCGCCGAAGATACGGTAGACAGCCATGGTGACGTCGTTGTCGGCCTCTGCAAGGATCTGTTGGCAGCGGTTGGTAGACATCGTTGTATTTGGCTTGGGTGGGTTTGGTAATAGTTTGGGGCGTTGTGGCTTTGTTGTAGTTGGCAAAAGCAGGTTATGTATTAATTCGAGTAAAATGGATATTCGACTTGAAGGAGTAATGTGGGTGAGGTGGCGGAATATATACGAAATGGTAGCCGGCTTCCATGTTTGCGCAGCCCAAAGATTGAATGATGCGACATCGATTGACCCTTCAAGTGTTGGCACCATTGGCAAGACTCGATGTCAACCTCATATATCAATGTACCGATATCGAAAGGTTGATTTTTCGAAGGGTGCACTGGACATGGAAGCAGCCTTCGTTGCTGTTGTAACAAACTGGAAAGCAGACGAGGCAAAGACATCGCTTCTTGTGAATGACGTTTTGGGAATATAGACACCGCTATGGTATGAACAAGGGATGCAGCACGCAAGAAGAGTGATGTTGGGCCCCGCCGTCGTCTTCTGTGTTGAAGCAGCCGCAGAGGGCGGGCGCGGACATTGGACGGACTATTCGTATCTTGAACCCGCAGACATAAACTCGTTCGGTTCTGTTTTCGATCTTGCCCATTGTTATATAGTATAAAAATGATAAGGCAGAGCAGAAGCCATGAAACTCAGGAGCAGGAATCTTTATGCGAACCGCGAAAGTTGGTGTCGCGATCATGTATTCCCATCTGCACAATTTTAGACACGAGCAGAGACAACTATTCTACTGAGACATGCGCAGCTAATATTATTAATTTGAGTTCATTGTGAGATTGAGAGAAGGCCAGAGAAGCGTTCATGAAGAAGGCCTGGGCGTAATTTTGTAGTTCTAATGGGAGAGAGCCATCTTGCCGCAACCATCAGGCTCATCCACGGCGTTTTCGATTCTTTGTCTGCAAAGGAGAATAGAAAGTAGAAATTGCGCAGTAGAACCCACTATTTGTAGGGAGAAGAGAACCGATGTGCTCACATGGTAGCGTCGCCATTTTTGTTGCGCTTTTTTAAGAACGGAAGCAACCCAAAGGCCAGACATGGCGAAATTGTCGCTGCTTTTGAGTAGGTAGACAAAGTCCAGGAAATAGGGACATCGAGTGACCCTCGGGGTTTTTGGTGTAGGAGAAATGCTCCAGGAGGAGAAGACATAAACCAGAATATGACCTTTTTTGGTATCTTCACGGAAAAGATGAGGGAGGAAGAAAGGTAGGCCCCAGGAAGATTTTATACCCTGGCGGGCGAGCGCTCGCTCCAGTTACCAACATGCACCTTCATTTCTAATCCTTCAATGAAGCACTGATCTGATGCCGCAAGCATCAAATCCTCCCAGAATTCTTTTGTTTTCTTTCCTGGCACCGCAGCCGTCAGACACAGACATGTGCCACAGGCATCTACTATTTCGGCTCTGCGCAGTCTTTCTTGCACACCATAAACATGATGATAATGAACTTCGTTTTCGAGTTTTTCTTTTAAGGAGCGTTCCCAAAGCCGCCGACCATGAAAGCTGTTGGCAGAGGTTTTGAGTTGTCCAAAAGTGCAAGACGGGACTTTCATCAAGGGGTGTAGACGTGCTTTTGACTAGATAGCGAAAGAAGGTGCAGAAGCGCACATGAACTTGTCCTCGACTACTTTTCGAAAGAGGAGAGCAGCAGCCATAAGATCGGTTTTCCAATGTTTTTGGTAAGAAACACTGGAAGGGACATATAGGAAGAAGGGTTTGGGAGTCGAGCGAGAAGGTTTATATACACGTCCAGGGACAGTGAGCACGTGCGCTTTAGTGGAGCCTGTTGCAAGAAGGCGCACCAGCGGAACGATGGGATACGAGCGAAGCCGGTCGCATACTCCGTCGCAGCAAAACACATCAACGCACAACAGCAACTGAGCAGAGAAATGATCAATTCTTCATACCAAGATTAGTCTACCACCAAAATACTATATGCACCTCTATATCCCACTATTCCTCCATCTACCGCTTAACCAACCCGGCAGCAGCAGCCTTCATCTCCGCCTCCTCATTCTTCTTCCTCTGGGCCTCAATCTCAGCCCTCGCCTTCCTCTTCTCCTCCTGCTGCAACTGATCCGGTCTTCGCTCGGCAATATCCTTTGGCTTGTTGTCCGAGAAGAAGAACTTCAGACCCTTCTCAATGATGTAGCAGGCAACGAAGTCAAACGCCATGATGCTGGTAATCATGATCTTGAAGTCGGTAGTGAAGGGGACAAGCTTGAGCTTCTCGTTGAGCTCGGGGATGAATTCGGTGGCGCAGGAGAAGGCGACACCAGAGACGGAGACTAGACCCCAGTACATGCCCTTGTTCTCGCGGATGGACTCGCGGAAAGGTCGGCCTTGGTAGTTGATGGCGAAGGTGGAGATTTGTTGAATAAGCTGCAGGAGATAGATTGCGGAGTTGAGCAGAGATGGCTCAAAGTCCTTCTCTAGATCTGGGTTGGGGTCCTTGGGCTCAACACGCTGGACGTATTGACTGACGTAGATGAGGGTGATGATGTGGATAGCGAACTGTCCGAGTACGGAGCCGATGATGTATGTGTTGAAGATGTTGTGCTGAGGACGTTCTTTCGACAGCGTCTCGACGGTCTTTGCGCGCGAGATGGAAAGGAAGCAAACACTCATCATCATGCCGGAGATGGTAACTTGACCGTCGCCGAACTTGATACCATCCAGGTAGAGGACTGACAGACTGTAGGCAGAGATCAAGCAGTTGAGAGCAAGGATCTTGTACATCTGGATTGTAGCGACGAGTGTGCAACGGCCTTGGCGGATAATGTTGGGAATGGCAACGACGTTGGCGAGCTTAGAGGTGAAGGGCGCAGCGACGGAGGCATCACCAAGCTTGATGGTCGGAGGCTCACCGGCCAACTCTTCCATCTCTTGTGCCATCATCTTCTCTTGCATTTGCTGAGCGAAGTTGGCGGCGGCCTGAGGAGGCTGAACTTGACCAGGTTGCTGTTGAACAAGGGTACCAGTAGATGCCGAACCGTTAGCAACGCCGTTGGCTCCGGGAAGTAGACCCTTCCTCTTCGCTTGGTTCTCCATAGCTTTCTCGTAGTGTGGGTTGGTGGGACCAGGTGGGTAGAGATGCGCAATCATGATCGGAACAGGCGGCTGGGGCTGGTTGAATCGTGTCATGAGGTTGCACTGCTTCTCGTAGACGTTCTTCATCTGAGTGTTGCGGAAGTGCTCGCCAATCTTGTCAAGATCCTCGCGAGTACCGTTCAGAAGAGCGACACCAATGTGAGCCTGCTTCAGCGCACCAACGTCGTTGGTACCGTCACCAGCCATGAGTGTAGTGTAACCGCAGTCCTTGAGACCGAGAAGGATTTCCTCCTTCTGCTTTGGCGAGACACGAGCGTAAACCCAGGTGTATCGCAGAATCTGCTTCCATCCTGGCTGGCCAGCGAACTTCGAGAGTGCGTATCCGGTAAGGCAGATGTCCTTGGACTTCAAGATCTCGGCATCCAGAGGCTTGGTAGGGTCGACAGGAATGCTGACCTTGTCGTCAACACTGCGCCAGACAAGCTTCTCGCCAGAGTCGTCGTTTTCAGGTGCATCAAGGATGTAGCAATCGCGGTCGACGATTTCGACCTGCTTGGCGACGTGGACAGCGGTCAACGGGTTGTCACCAGTAATCATGACAACACGATGGCTGGACTCGTTGAGGGAACGGACAGCCTCGACAGCGTCAGGCTTGAGAGGGCATTGGAGGACAAGGAAACCGGCAAAGTGCAAGTCAGACTCGACTTGCTCACGCTTGAGATCGTTGATGCGGTTTTGGCCCCACTCTCCCTCTTCGGAGATGAACTTGTATGCGAGAGCGAGGACACGGCCACCATTACGGGTGAAGTGCTTGAAAGTCTCCTCGTAGTTCGGCGGGGTATTGACCAACATCTTGCGAATAGTCTCGGGCGCGCCCTTGACTGCAGCGATTGTGCTCTTGACCTTGCGGCCAGTCTTGGTGTTGTTGACGATGACGGTAGCGACGGAGCTCTGGCGTTTGAGGGCGGACGAGAATTGGAAGCGGCGGCGGATGTGCACGAGTTCGGCTTGGGATTTGGGGGTAGTCATGGTGGCTTGAAGTGTGTCCTTCGCTCCGAGTTTCCAGCCGAGAGACTGGAGGGTTGCCTTCTCCATAGGCTCTCCAACAGTCTCACCATCGTCGAGTTTGACCAGGGCGTGAGCGGCGGCGAGCACCAGGGTCGTCTCAGTAGCGACGTCCGTAACCTTTGCGAGATCGGTGTGCGCGCCGTCTGCTGCAACTGTAGCTCCATCTTGTCCCAATGATAGTCCAGCAATGCCGTCCACGACCAAGTCTTCACCAGTCAGAGTACCGGTCTTATCGAAGCAGGCAACGTCGACCTGCCCGGCGAAGGGAATGCGGAAAGGCTCGGTACAGAAGATGGCGTACTTGCTCAGGGCAGCGAGGGAAGTGTTGACGGCCAAGCTGAGCTCCATTGGAAGCTCGGGAGGGACGACGCTGGTGACGATGAGGACGCAGTCGAGGAGCAGCTTGTTACGCTGGCGATCGAGCCTGACACCCTCCTGCCAGACGTACCACGAGGCAGCGACGGCGAAGACGGTAAGGAAGAGAATGAAGAAGAGGGCTTCGACGTTGTTGGCGGACACGCGCTCGGTAGCGAAGATCATGGTCCTGACGAGGCTGCCCTGGTTAGTCTCGAAGCCAGTCTTAATAACAACAGCAACAGCGCCCTTGTCCGGCGGCGGTGGGACACCAGACGAAAGCCTAGTGACGTTTCCGCCATCCTCCTCAGCGTCGCTACCGTGCGAGACCTGGAGCACCTTGGTGCCGCCCCAGAGGAACGAGTTCTTGTCCAGACCCTCAGGCTCGATGCGCGCATCGCCAGGTCGCAGTTGTACGGACTCCTTGAGCACCGGTGTGCTCTCTCCGGAAAGCATAGCCTCGTTGACAATCGCGGAGCCCTCGAGTAGGAGCATGTCGCATGCCACACCAGAGTCTTCCTTGGTCCGGCCTGCGCTGACGACATCGCCGGGGAGCAGCTTGTCGCTCATGATCTCCTGCCACTTCTTCTGCCTGTATACCAGAATCTCGTAGGGCTTGATGCTCATGCCGCGGAACTCGTTCAGGGTCCTCTGTCTCTGCCACACGACGGTGCTCTCGAAAGCGACCAGCATGAACAGCGTGAACAGCGAGTAGTACCAGTATTCGTCCAGCATCCACAGTCCAACGCAGAAGATCTGGAAGACGAAGAAGGGCGCGACGGCGTGTTCCTTGAACAGCTCGGTGAAGGTCGGGACGGGAATGTCGAACGCGTTGTCGCCATAGTGCTGGGTGAGGCGCTCAATCTCGGCGGGCGAGGTGAGGCCCTGCGTCTGCTGGAACGTCTTGAGCTGGGGCTTGGGTTCGATGTCGAGCGGGTAGGACAGCGGGGCGAAGGAGCCTTTCTCGGTGTCGTAAAGGAAACGGCGCTTCTGGAAGAGGAAGGAGAGGTTCGACTTTCCGCCCACGTTGTCGCGCACCAATGGCACAATCTCAGCGGCACCCGCGTTCTTGACGGGCTGCACTTTGATAAGCGATGCCGAGCGCACGTCGCTGGCCGAGGTGGTGGTGAAGGCGCTCTTGAGGTTGACGTTCCAGTGCGTCATAAGCCAGAAGAGCGACTGGAAGGTGGTGATGCTGGCGACCCAGACAAAGGTCCATTCCGACGACTGGATGTACTGCTCATAGCGCTGCGGCGAAAAGTATATGGCGGAGAAGGCGGGCCACACTATTAAGAAGGGCCAGATGTACGTGTGTAGCTGCAGCGGCAGCGGGTTGTGCAGGCTGGCCTGCTTGATCTGGGGGTTGTCGACAAGCGGGGCCATGGTTGTGGTTGTCGTGTCCAGACGAACGTCAGTCCTCGAAGATTATTGAGACCCTTTGCCTTCGCGCCCGCCGCCGTCGGCGCTACTTTGCCCGATGCACGTGGCGGAACATTCACGAACATGGATTGAAAGCGGGTTAGCGTCTGCCGTGATTGGTCCGTCTGCTGAACTCCTCTATCTCAACATTCTGTTTTCACCTTCGACAGCTTCACTCTCTTTATTCTACATCATCCATCGAACAATGAATGCTCCACAGCGGTCGCAGGAATCCCCGCCAGCGACCCCCTGCAAAGCGCCGGTCCTCGCAGCCGCATCACCTCCGCCCAGATAGCATCCATCCGATCTTCGAAAAACGTATCCGTCCATGCGACATGCCGCATTTCATGCTCGAGATGATGTGTACTTCTAACATGCATCACGCCACACAGCTCTGATAGCTGCGCGATCCACCACATGCGCTCTTCGCCTGTAGCAACACAACTCGCAACGACGAGAACCCAAAGCAACATGTTGAGATTCTTCTCTCGGTTCCATGTATCCAGCAATGATGCATTTGGTCGATCGACAGCGGCACGTAACCGAGAAAGAAGGATGGTGAAGATCTTCGTGTTCAGTGGTAGTGCACGAAGCACCGCATATACGAAAATGAGGGCTGCTGCAAGTAGGGCCTCAACCACACTCGCTGCATCCGCTCTAGCCTTGAGATAATCGTAGCAGTCGCTTTGTTTGTCGTGGATGCTCTGGTCAAAGTGCAGGAAGTTGTATGACTGATCAGGTATTGAGAGGATCGTGAACTGCGTTTCGTAGAGGAGATTGCTGAGAGTGAGGCGCTCGACACGACCAACCCAGTGCGATGATAGTGCTAGCACGAGTCGATGCAGTCGATAGAAAATGTTGAAGCAGTCGACCGCGCGGCAAGAAAGGTGGAGCAGTGACGTGGGCGACGTTTGTGCCGCTTCTTCTCTGAGCTCGTCCGGCAAAGGAGGCATATCCGGGTCTAGACTGATATGTGGGAAAGATGGGTGGGCGCGAGAAACAGCTGCAGTGTGAAAGTCCATCCTGTCAAGTGCTTTAGCGGTGAAATTATGCGATGGATGGCATTGAGCTTACCATATGATGCCACGCAACAAGCCATCATTGTGTCCAAAGGCAAACAGCCCACCTCGCACTTTCAACATACGTTTCAGCGCTGTGACGTGGAGCTGAGCCGCTTCATAGTCTCCAAGAAGATTCTGGAACAGTTAGTATGGGTCATTCCATGGGAAGACGTGATGGTACCTCCAGATTTGCCAAAGTCAGCACAGTGGCAACTACCTCATCAGATATATATCCTCCAGACGTCGCAAGTTTGCAATTGACGATCTTGATTGCTTCATTCTTGTGCTTGAGTTTACGCACTCTCAAGTCAGTGAGTTCATTGGCCAGCATGCCGTATAGTGCCCAGCTCGCTAGAGTTGCGTGTAGCAAGCCGGCATCACTCAAGATGAGTGATTTCCACGTGTGCTGGGCATCGACGGCGACTGCATTGTTCCTGGGTGCACCTTTGTCTGTCTTGGTGTCAGCGAACGGGGCCCTTGGCTTCAGAATTCGCCCTCGTAGTTGGACAACGTGTATCGACTCTACGTACACAATTGGAATAGCGCACTCAGCTCTGGAGTTCCAGGTATGGGTGAAGCCTTGGAAGGATCTATCCGATCATCATCCAGGCCGCATTTCAGTGCTGGCGCTAGTGTTTCATCCGTGTCTTCTCTCTTGTCTTTGCCATCTTCCCCAGCTTTCGAAGATGTCCTTGGTCGCGACCTATCTCTCAGATCTTTTGGCCTTGCTGCGCCCTTCTCTCTCACTCTCCGTGCATCTTCCCTCTCTCTGCTATTGGCCTTCTTTTTCTTGATCCGAGGTTCGGATATCCGGAATCGGCTCTTTAGCTTCTTCTTCGCCATGGCCGTGCTGATCGAAGAGTGTTGAGACGGGTTGGTCTGCGGTCCAGCCATCTTCATATCGAAGTGATTGCGCATCACCAGCCGCCGGATCATGCATCGTTCCGCACCAGCTAGGTTATATGGCTTATCCGTAGTTACAAAGAATTCGTACTCGCGCTCCATGATTTTGGTGAGCCTTGTCGGTAGATCTGATGGGAGGGGTATGTCCGTAATCTAGAATTATAACTACGCAGTCAACAAATAATGGCTTGCGGCAAAATTTAGAGACTGTGGCTGGGGCGTTCGATATACCTCCTGTATATTCAATGTGGTACTTCGGCCTCCGACTACCACACCTCGTCATGTGCAACCATAAGCCACCTTATCGGCCGAAGCAGCGACCTATGCCCGGAGATAAGCTCGCGTAAGTGGTATCGAGTGTACGGGAGGTCATCTTGGCTGGCTTATATAAGACCTATGCTGATTACGGCAGCGGGGTCAACATGCGAGGTACTGTGCCATTGGACAACAGCAACACACGACGCGCGCCTCGTATGCGATAAGCGTCGGGCTTTCCGCCGATGTTTGAGGTGGCTGAGAGGGAAGCGCGGGGGGCCAAAACTCGTATTCTGGTAGCGACGCGCATGGACGAATGATTCATGCAGCCCTACAGCGCCTCGGAAATGATGGCTGCTGCATTTCGGGGATGTCTCTACTCTACATACACAACGCCTCTACAACCCCGAGTTGAATGCCACACCTTCAACGCCAACAGCCTACCCGAGAGTCATTTCCATATTCATTTGCCCTTGTCCTCTCTCAGACTAACGATCTGGTTGAGCACAATCTTGTCTTCCGTAGAATCGATATCAACGCAGAAATAAGCAGTACGCAGCGCCTGGAAGCGCACAAGAGCATCTGATGATCCACTCAGATCGAGTGAAGTCTCGCTGATGAGATCCTTGATACCCCGCTCGATGACCGCTTTGTCGTGAATGATTTCGGAGTTGGGGTTAAGATCGTCAGCCCAACCACCTGTCTTCCAGTCTAGTGTGTTGGGTGACTCGGTCTTGAAGAGCGAGGTGTACAGACGTGCTGTGACCGGAACGGCTGTAGCAACGTCCACCCATTGAATGTAGGCCTTGGGCTTCTCGGTACCTGGCACCTTGACAGCCTTGATCTCGGACACGTTGCCGTTCTCGTCCTTGGAGAAGGATGTCGCACGGATCGCGAAGGGGAGGTTGTATAGACCCACAGCCTTGTTTGGCGCCAGACGGAAGTAGTCGGCGCTGTCTTCCTCTCTGAAGTCGCTGCGGTCTATGTAGACGGCGCTACCAATCTTCACCTTGCGCTCACCAGGTATGGTGCCCTTGGGGTCGTAAGGGACCGTTATTTCTTGTTCGTCTTCGGTCGCGAAGTCTTCGATGACTACTTTGATAGGGTCGAGCACCATCATCTGGCGTGGCACGGTTCGCTCGAGGTGTTTGCGGATTGAAGCTTCGAAACGTGGAGGCTCGATCTCCGAAAGCGCATCCGTGACGCCGAGCTCGTCCACAAAGTTGAGCATGGCCTTGGCTGGGATGCCGCGACGGCGCAGCGCAACCATGGTGAAGAGTCGGGGGTCGTCCCATCCTCGTACTACGCCGGGTATCTTTTTGGTCTCGACTGTGCCATCCGCGTTCTTCTTTTCGACAGTTGTGCCTTCGACGAGCTGGAGGATGCGTCGCTTCGAGAGGATCGTGCCGCCAACGCTTAGGCGTCCGAATCTGTGCAACGTTAATATGAGCGATTTCTAGATGGGAAGCTGTCGCTCACTCTCGCTGCATTGGTCCCTTCTCCTCCGACTTGGGCACTTTCATGTCCAACTGCTCCAGCAGCCAGTCGTAAGAGATACGCGACTGGCGGAACTCGACTGTACACAACGAATGGCTGATTCCCTCGAGTGCATCGCAAATGCAATGGGTGAAGTCGTAGGTAGGGTAGATTCTCCACTTGTCGCCAGTCCGGTGGTGGTGGTTCTCCTTGACAACGCGGTAGGCGGGCAGATCCCACATCTGCGGGTTGCCCTCATCCGGGTCCGTCAACTTTTGTTTCATGCGCAAGAAAGCCTCTCCAGCCTGGTATTTGCCATCGCGCATCGCCCGGAATTCGGTGAGGGACTCTTCGATCGGCCGTGTGCGGTGTGCGCAGCCATAGCGTTTGCCTCTGTTGTCGGGTCCTCCGCGCTGGTTGTTGATCTCCTCGCCTGCGCCAGAGTTAGTACCTCGCATATGACGATAGACATGCAGACTTACGTGAGCAGTGGCACACATAGGCGCCGTCCTTCTTGATAAGCTGCTCTGCAAGCTCGTACAGCTTGTCAAAGTTGTCGCTGCTGTATGTGATCTTCCACGGCTCGAAGCCTAGCCACCTGACGATGTCCAGGATGGCCGTGAAGTAGATCTCGTCCTCCTTCTCCGGGTTGGTGTCGTCGTATCGCAGGTAGCACTTGCCATTGTGATGTTTCGCGAAGCCAAAATCGACGGCGATGGCCTTGGCGTGACCAATGTGGAGGAAGCCGTTTGGTTCGGGAGGGAATCGGGTTCTGACTTCTGGCACAGGCTTCTCTTCGTAGATGCGCTTCAGCCAGCCCTCAGAGAAGATGCTCGTCGGCTCGCTCTTTGTGCTGGGCTTGGCCTGCTCTTTGGGTCGGAGGGCATGCTCGGCCTTCTTGGCCTTTGCTGCTGCTTTCTTCGCCGCCTTCTCGAGCGCACGCTTCGAAGGGCCCTTCTCCTCCTCAGCGGTCGGTGGGGCGGGAGCTGTGGGTTCCGCCATGTCTGCGCGACGTCAGTACACGCGTTATCGAAGGTACGTTAAGCAAGATGTACACGTGACTTTATAGCAGAAATAATACGCGTCGAGTTCGTGACTTACCGGGCAAGTGTCGATGTTGGGGAGCTCGTGTGCTGCGGGAGGGGCTCTCTCAATAACTTTGGAGGGGCATTGACTCAAACGCGCTACACCAGCCACACCCCTAACGCCACACTAACACGGTAGCTCAACTTTCTCCGCTCGCTGCCCTTCCATCACACATCACACGCTGTGCCACATATCCCTGAGTCGTAATCGCGTGCGATTCAATAAAACTTCCAGTTTACATGGTTGTCAGCGACTTGACACGCTTCAATTGGCGTGCATCGGCACCTGATTCCTTCACAACACGACTCTTACTTCCGGACTCTGAGCCAGCGAACGCTTGAGGATGTCAAGGGCGTGATCAAAGTATCATGTTTGTCTCTGAATTACATGACTACAGTTACGCCACAGCCTCGCTTTGTCGAGACATGGAATGCACTGCGAAACCAGACCTTGGAAACAACAAAAAGCAGATTCAGAGCTTGGACACGAATCCGGCAACATGATATCCAAGATTGACATAGAAAGACTCTAGTGGTAACTATGGATTCGATTGGTGAACGACTAACCTCATCTCCGATAGTGTTTCCAGCTTCAGCATGCAATTTCGCCCCTTCCAAAGCATCGTCAACTCTGCAGGTCGGAAATACCGTCCTTCGGTATTGACACGAGGCATGGAAGGTGCACTTGGAGCTATGTCAACTTCAATCTCAAGACGTGAAACTTGTAAAACAGCAAAACTCAGCGACCAGCATGCCACTCCTGGTGCATACCCGATCCTTAACCATTTCTCACGACAGATGCTCAACGCGCGCCAATCTTTATATCGCTCCTTGTTTCGCACACGCTTTCCTACCCAACGAATAACATCAAAATTTCCATCGATGGTGACCACAAGAAACAAAAACTATACCTACGACAACGTCCCCCAGGAACAAGGCCGAATGGGGGCAGCAACAGAGTCACTCGATGATCGGCGAGCAAGGCAGGCGCACCTTCTCCTTTCGAAGCACTACGAGCCCGTCATCTCTGAGGTACTCAACGAAGAAATACCCAAGTACAAGAATGGCACTACCATCAGTGCAACAGACCGTGTGAAGTATATACGAGAATGCGCGCGAATACTCGCTTCAGAACCGCCCATACTGCTAGCGGCAGTCGACGGCGACTTGGTGCGCCGCATGCGGACTGATCCTGATTTGAAGCGAGAATACGACCTCATCTGCAAGAATGCAGCAAAGCAGCCGTCCATATACATACACCAATTCGCAGACCTGAATGGTATTCCACCTACTCCTAATCAAATGCTCATCATCTGTAATTGGATAGCCGACTACGTAGCCGATAATCTGGCAGAAGGCAAATCTTACGAGCACTTCTGGCAAATAGACAACGTCTCACCGGGAAGACCGCTGATTGCCCGGCAAAACTCTGCCAAAGGCTACCGTAAGTATCTCTACACGACACATTCCAGTCGATCAAAGAAGCGTGTCGGTACCCTCGAACTTTTCTGTCAAGGTACCCAGAAACGTTGGCAGGAGACGTCAGCATCACTACGCGATACACCCCTTCGATATCCTCTTGGGGAGTGTGGATATTCTGAAAACTCGGAAAATCGCCTGAAAGAGCACCGGCAACGGAAGTCATCCAACTACATAATGAACCTAGTCGAGGACATATCCACCCACCTCCACAACATCGGCATATTTGAACAACACTTCACAATGCACCAGTATATTGTCTATCTCATCGACCGACGGGAACAAGTAGAGATTGCGGAGATCTTTTGCTCCGCATTACTTCGAGTGTGGGTGAGTAGCGGCGGTGGTTTCAACTCGTACCCTGCTGGGCTTAGCGTCAACTCTTCGAAGAAGGTCAGCAATATAGACTGGGCTTCGTACGAGATGAACACCACCTTGCACTCCCCCATCGCCGAAAACATGAGGATGCAGCAGCTCAGAGCAGATGAATACCGACAAGCACTGGAGTGGACAAATGACAACACTGTAGACTCGGAGACGAGAGAGCCAGCAAGCCAAGAAGAAGAGTGCATGTAAGTTGAACTACTGAAGGGCTCAGATCAGGTACTGACGTAGCGATTCTAGTGCTCATCTCTCACAGCTGTCGATGTAAACCCACTACCCTCGACCATGACTGCTATATCCTAGGATACTTCTCATTACTAAACCTTGCCACATTGTATGAATTCGAAATAACTCCTACTCCAGATATCACGATGTCCATTTTGTTGTGTCGCAAGTGATGTTCCGAGGTCGCCCCCCTTCGAGCCCCATAATCCCACGTCACAGTGACCTGTATGGCCACTCTTTCATATCAAACCAGAAAGACCGTATCTCGCTACCAAACACGACGATCGGGTGCAATGCAGGCAAATCTGCAACGTCGCTTCTCGAAGGCCACTATCTCAACCTCCTGCATTAACCCGAGTGAATGTCATAGCATCGCCACGTTACCGAACATCAACCATGTCTATGTAAGTCATCAAATTTAGTTTTGCGGAAGACATAGCATTTTTTGGGGGCTATCTCGAAGACATAGAGCACTGCGGAGGTGTTCGCAATATTTAAAGTGGCAAAATTCCATGAACCCCATTGTAGATATCATAGCCATCCATCTATCTAGAGCAAATCTATATTGCACATCAGATGAAAACTAACAATGAGCAGAACATTCGAACACCCCCGCTCCTACCCTGCCGCCCTGCTCAAGAAGCGCCACTCCCTCCCCTCCCACCTCCACATCTTCGTCGAACGACCAAGCCGACATGCAATACGCTCATCAAGAGACTTCAACTACGACGCCCTCAACAAGTCCAGCATCGAAGCCCACTTCCAGCGCAACGTCGCATCGAGCTTTATCTCATTGTACGAGAGCAAAGCCACTGCCTCGAGCAAATATCCTCACACCGACAAAGTGGGACAAAAACCGCGATCATTCGATGCCGCTGAAATGTCTATCCACACCAGTGGGCTGACAGCGGCATGGGTGACCGTAGACAAAGACGTCCGTCTTCCAGTATGGTTTGACAAGAACAGACAGGAGTCCGACAACGCAGACGACGAAGAGGTACTGTGGTTTTGCCTCCAAGAGCTGAAAGCAGTACTACAAGTCGATGAGAAGCTTGGGGAGAAGGACGAATGGCTTGCCTGTGGGTTCATTCCCGAAAGTAGGGTTGTCACTCGTCACGATTCATCGAATGAGGAGTACCCAGAGGGGGTAGTCAACGACAAGGAAATAGAAGAGGCTTATAGACAGGCTCGCCGCGACCGCCAACGTATCGAAGGGGAGAGGCTTCAAGTCGACGTGCCGGAATGTGAGCACAGACTCAAGAAGACGCTGTCTTCGGGCTTCTTGAAAGCCCCTCAGATCCCCAGCCGGAAAAGCTCTCTTGTCTCGCTGGATGGCAAGGCTGTGAGCCAGTCCAAGAAGACAGTTAGCGGGGCTTCAAAGCTTCGCGTAGATACGCGCGACGTGTCGGTCTCGCTGACGAATGCGGATCCACGGCGCGCAGCGTCGCTGATGAAGTATGCGTTGTTGCTGGCGCATGAAAAGAGGTTTGAAGCCGAAGAGTCGTGGCTTTCGGAGACGACTCGTTTGGCTGGGGGTGTAGATCGGGGGGATAGTACGAGGACAATCGATGATGTGGTTCGTAGAGAGAGGCGAAGCGGGTTTGTAGAGCGTCATAATGAGGCCTACTTGACGCCGCCGCAATCACCAATTACCTCATCTGGACGAAGGGGCATGCATGAGCGAAGGAGTCGTAATGGTGCTGATAATCCAGTCAAACGATACGAAATCGCTCGACAAGATGATGAACAATCAGTCCAGGAAAGGGGAAGACGTATGCGTCGCTCTGCCGCTCCATCGCCCTCGCAGTCTTTGCTAGGACATCATCTTGAAGGAGGCAACGCGTCTTCGCTTCGACCGCGTCTTTCGCGCCGTGAGCTCCTCTTGGAGCTGCAATCAGACGAAGACTCTGTTCTACGAGAGTACGCAAGAGTCAGTCTGCAGGATCCCTCTTCCCACCACCACACCCGGCACGACACGCCTAATGGCGCACCCTCAACATCGACGGCCCCGGGAACCCAGCAACCACCCAACCACACCGCCCAGGGTGCAGGTAACGATGAATTTAGCCCACCAGATGAATCGGTCTACTCCACCATGTCGTCTCTCTCCTCCTTGTCCGACCTCGCGCATGCTACCATCGAGGAGGCCACGTACGCTACCGTCCATCCTGGCTCCCATGTTAGAGAGATCGAGATACGGAGAAGGAAGTCGAGGCCGTCGTCTGCGGAGGCGAAGTTCAGCGAAAAAGAGGAGAGAGGGAGGAGTAGGAACGGACGGCGACAACGAAGAGTTTCGGGGGTAGCTGTAGAAACACCAGCGGAAGAGGATGTGGAACCTTTTCCTACTTTTGATCCGATCGTACCGGGTCACGTACAGCTTTCACGGTCTGGAAGCAATGTTTCTGCGGTTGCTGTTGTTCCTTCGGCATCAACACCGACACCTTCACCAGTGGTCTTGAAATCCGAATCTTTCTTTGCCAGAAGGAAGAAACTGTTCGAGAAGGGCAAAGACGTTTCTGAGCGTTTAGCAGAGGTACGGGAAAGTCCGGCTGCTCAGAAACCAAAGGTCATGAAAGATCTCTTGGAGTTTGCTGGGTGGAGATCTGGTGATAAGAAAGATGGGTCGAAGTGAGCAGGGATGAGAAATGACTTTTGTAGGGAAAAGGTGAGTTCATGACGAGGCGAGCGAGCTGCTGTTAGAGTTCGCTAACGGGTACTCGGATCAGCGAAAGATGGAGGTGCAAGTCGAGGAGAAGAAGAGCGTCTCATCATCGCCAAACCACAACATCCAAGAAAGCACCACTCACACTCGCACCTGGAAGATTATCATACCAAAACGTCGCGGTGGTGAGGCGTCCGTCCCCAGTTTTCTCGAAGGTTTCCACTCGGACAAGCCAACCGCCACCAACGAAACCACGACTCTACCCGCCTATCCGCATCCTACGATCCCCAACCCACATTCCCACCCCACAACAATTCGCACCGTTACCCACCCCTGATCCTACACCCGCGCATCCCTCTGCATCCGTGCTAGCTCACTCCCTTCCCATCCCCAATGCGAACCCCTGCCTTACCCGATTTACCCGGAAGCAGTAAAACGCACGGATCCGCACACCCCAATCGAGCAATGACGTGCCGAAAGCAGTGCTGGCGAAAGTTGGCAGCGAGGCATTGGACGCGCACGTTCGGCGCCGGGGGCAATGCAGAGAAAAGTTGGCACCGTGTTCCATGGTGGACTTGTGAGTTACTGCATTAGGCATCTAGAGAAGATGACGACGGGGATGACGGTGGTTGTGACGTTGGAGGTGTCGTGACGTCGAGGGTAATTATAAATGTGGTGGACAATGCGTGCGAGAGATGGTGTAGGCGGACGGAGCGGAAAGATTGCGCGGTGTCGTGATTGGGTGTGGTGCAACATTAAAACACCATCATCGATGTATTTGCAACATCGAGATTACCATATCGCGATGTTAGTTTGATTGTTCGTGAAGTTATAAGTGCACTGGTGATGATTTGCTTGTTCACATGCTACTTCGTGTATTACTATGGATGCGTGAGACGTGGTGCTCACAATAGGCCCGACCTTGCCTGCCTGAATTCCCCAAAGGACCGTTTTCGTATGAAGACACCCCATCGCTGCTGCCTACGCATGTACTTTGCTTGCGCCTCTACGCGCGGCTTTGTAGGCAGTTGTATAGGCTTTAGCCGCGATCTCTGGTGTGCGACGATGACAGACTCTAGCCCCAGTGAGGTGCATCATGGTGGCTCCTGCGTTGTCGGTTGTCAAGATGATCGGACCGTGGCGGGGGCTTTGAGAAATCGATATTGTGACCATGCCCTATAACGGGACTGGTTATTGTTCGGAAGGATACTCCCTCGGAGCTGTTCATCCAGGTTGTGGGCTAGCCATGCCACCCTGGTAAGCACTGGCAAAGTCTAGTTGTCCCAGTTGGCCATTAATCTGGTCAATCTCTTTGTTCAGGTCTTCCACATTCTGCGCCAAACTGGATACTTCGTCGAATCTTCGGTGTTTGGTGGCATCAGCGACCATTTCAGATACTATGAACTTCTGTTCCTCAAGTACGATCAACCGCTCTTTGAGTTCTTTCTCTTCTGATTCCATTGCGGAGACCTCGCTGCTGCTTACGACACTGCCAGTGGAGCGGTCGTTGTACTTGATGGACGCGAGAGCACTACCTCCATTCGTTCGACCTTGCGGGGCTGCATGCTTGAGGATCTTTGGTAACGCTCTGAGGGGTAGCATGTGTAAGCTCAAGAAGCTGTAAGCTTGCTGATATACTGCTCTTTGTAGCTTCTGCTGTGTCGGCGAGTCGGTGGGGAGATCTCGTATTCGTTTTGCGGCTACATCGAACTGTGCAAAGCCGTCCATTAATCGTTTGCGCACCTTGGTCGCGTCAGTCAACTGCTGCGGCGTGGGTGACTTGTCTGGGTCTTGCAAGGCCTGCAGGAGCTTGTGGAATCGTGGAAGGAGTAATCGGATGCCACGTTCGAATTGCGCAAGGTTCTCGTATGCACGCTGGTCCTTTGGCTTGTCGGCTAGCTCGCGCTCAAAGTCGCCTCTAGCGAACAACGTGTGCTGGCAGTCTTTGCACAAGCGCACGTCAACACTCATCTGCGCAGCATCTTTTTCAGTCGTCTGCGTGCTAGCAACATTGAGACCTATCTCCGAGGAGCAGCCAGTCTTGGGGTCGCTGCACACGACGCGTCCGCACATGCGACAATGTGATCTTCTGAATGTGTAGGTCGAGAACTCCTGCTGACAGAAGGGACAGTTCGGAACTTTGGCGTCTTCCTCCCACGTGATTATTGATTGCTCTAGAGTCTTGCGTTGGTTCTTGACACCCGGTAGTGAGAACCAGCTCCCTGCAGTCTGCGTTTCTTCTATCGGAGGCGGGTTTGCGAGAAGTTGCGTCAACTTGGTAAGACGCTTCTCGAGCCGGCTGACTTCCATGCGCTCTCTGTCGACACGTTTCCGTCTGATCTTGGCGAATTCGTCGAAGTGGTCGCGCTCGAAGCCGTGGTGATCGTTGTACCCGTCTCTCGACTTGTAGCATGTCTCGCACACGCGACACCAAACGCCTCGGACAGGGTCGTGTTTAGCCTGCCGCGAGAGCTTCATCTGGTACATGGTGTGCTCCTCGCAGAATAGCCTGCCACACTGTCTGCAGTTGACTGCTGGCTGACTTCCGCCTAGCGCCATTTGTGATGCAGTGACCGGCCTCGCGCACATGGGGTCTGAGCAGACATCACGGTAGCCAGGCCTCTGCCAATGTGATCGCGTGACTTCCTCCTCGGGGTCTCGGCGGACGGGTGCGGGTTCGTGGGGAACGTGGGCGGTCGAACTGCTCGCGGAGTGGGAGATTTGGGGTGGCGTCGGAACGTCGTTGGATTCGAAGACGTCGAGTCCCTTCAGCTTCTGGTTGAGCACGGCGAGCGGCTGGAACTTCTTGGCCTTGTGCATCTGGGCCTCGAACCAGTTCTTGACCTCATCCTGCTCCTCCACGACCAGGTTCTGGTGGTTGTCGTCGAGATGTCTAACACTGGTCAGGGCTAACATACTGGGTGGCTACGAGGCGGTGGTACCTGTTCAGTTGTAGTAATGTTACCTGCTACGTCAGACGACTGTTCTTGCTGCAGCAGGTGCTATGAACCCACCATTTCCTCATTGCATATCGGGCACACGAGTCTGCTGGAGGCACTCGCCGCGGCATGCTCGCTCGGGCCCACCAGGACCTTGCTGCCGATATCCTCGCGCGTCTCTGCAGTGCTGGCGGGGCTGTTGGAGGCCTGCGAGTTGAGCGAGACGGAGCTCTCAGATGGCGAGAGCAGGCTCGCGTTGCGGCGGTGGGCGGCTGCAGGCTGCGGAGGTGCAGCGGCGGGCGACAGGTTCCTCCCGCTGCCGAGGACGCGGCCGCCGCCCAGAGACCTGCGCGAGGTCATATTCGGGAGTGTCTGCTGGAGTCGTGAAGGTACATGGGCCGGCATGGGTAGGCTAGGGCGTGGGTCTTGGGCGCGCCGTTGCAAGGGCCGCTAGGGATGCGCTGCAGGACCACATGCCGGCATCTTGGAAACGCGTCCCCGTCCCGCAGTCGCACCGTCCAGGGAGACATGGCTAGTGGCAGCGAGGGAACCATTATTGCGTGATTGCAAAGTGCATGCGATAAGAAAACTCTACAGCCCAGCCAGCCCGGCCGACGTCCTCAGCACGGCCTTGGCAATGACGCGGAATCGAGACATGGCTATCTCCGCGCTGCATGCTCCATCTCCGCAACACTCTCCGCACCATGAAAGGCCCCTACCCCGAGATCCAGGGCGGCGGCTCTCTGATTCTCGCATGGCAGATCCGCAATAAGCGCGTCCTGGTCGTCGGCGGCGGCGAGGTACGTCAACACCCCCAGGCCCCTTGCAAAGTATTGACAGTTGACAAAAGTCTAGGTCGCCGCTGGTCGCATCGTCAACGTGCTCAATGCCGACGCCAAAATCACCCTCGTCTCCCCGCGCGACGGCCTCAACGAAGAAGTCGCCTACCGGATAGAACAGGGCCAGGTCGACTACATCGATCGCAAGTTTGAGCCCCAAGACCTCGATGGCGTCGACATGGTCCTGACCGCCGTCGACGATCCCGAGGCCTCGTCGCAGATCTACAAGCTATGCAAGGAGAGGCGGATAGCAGCCAACATCGCCGACGTCCCGCCCGAGTGCGACTTCTACTTTGGCAGCGTGCACCGCGATGGGCCGCTCCAGATCATGGTCAGCACAAACGGCAATGGCCCCAAGCTGGCCAACATCGTCAGGAGGCAGATAGCAGCTGGCCTACCATACAACATCGGCAACGCCGTGCAAAGAGTCGGCATGCTGCGGAGGAAGCTGCGAAAGGTCGCCCCGAATATCGAGGAGGGCCCAAAGCGGATGCAGTGGTATGTTCCCTACATCGCATCCGGAAGGTACTCGCTGACTCAGCCCATGCAGGATGTCCAAGGTGTGCGAACAATACTCGCTCGACGACCTCTGCGCCATGACCGAGGAGGACATGGAGATGCTCCTCGGTTTCTACCGACCCGGAACTGTGCCGACGCTCGAAGAAGTACGACTGCAGGAAGCCGATGGAGCGTACGACGGGCCTTTCTTGATCTGATTGCATATGGATTCGGCGTTGGGTAGACAGCATACAGTAGGTATGAGCGGGAGTTGCGGCGACGCTATCAAATTCTTGTATATCAATTGTACACTCTCCTACGCTCTCACTACCTCCTAGAAGTTTTATGTTGCCTTGGGATTTTGTAAGCTTTCCTTTCTATACTAATGCAGACGGCAGCGCATCTGTTGGGTTTCCAGCTAGTCGAAGGTGCTCCGGTGGCTCATTCCTCGTCTCATCTCCTGCTGTGCTGTCAGCCAATCAGGATGAGTTGGCCCAAGCGTCATCTTCCCGGCACTTGCCTGTTGAATGCGTCCCTCACCACATCTTACAGATCACATTACAGCAACGCTACGATTTCTGCGCTCTATCACTTAGATGTCGGCGTCAGAGAACACGATGGATCTTGCGCAGCGACCACCTTACGACACCGTCGATTTCAAGGCCCTCACCAAGAGCGACAAGGAATTCAAACA